ACTCCCTCGTAATGTTTTGTTGGATTATTCTGATATTATCAAATGACTTTTTAGCTTATTTTCAGATCTAGAAACAAAAAGTAATCTGGTGGTTAAGTCCAGGGAATAAGGAGTGCTTCTTCTGATGCACTACAGCCTACTGCTGGCCAAAGCTGTCTTAATCAGTCTATGCCATCTGGACCTATTCATAGCAATACTTCTCCAGTCTCCCCTATGTATGGTATTAACATCATCTTACACAGCATCAAGCCACCTAATGAGTGGCTTTCTTCACTTTCTAGCTCCCATAAGTTTGGTAAATGTGAGTTGTTTTACTGGGCTTGTGTCTTCAGTTCTGTATAAATAACCCAACCATCGAATCCAGTGGTTTTCATGACATTGACTATATCAGGCTGTCTAAATTTTTGGTAGATTTCACGATTATATATTGATCTCCAAACATCATTTTCACAAACAGTGCCAAATACTTTTCTTAGTAAGATCAGTAGTTTACTTTCAATTATTTTAGTCACTGCCCAGCACTCACAGCCATATAGTATGATGGGACATAACAAGTTCTTATATATATTAATATTAGCATTATGGCATATAAATCGAGAATTGAAGTGATTTTTAAGACTATGATAGCATCCATTTGCAATGAGGAACCTGTTATTAATTTCCATAGATAAACCATTATTATTCATGACAATAGCTCCAAGATATTTGAATTGTACCACATTTTCAAAAGTGTAGTCGTTCACAGTCAGTGGCAATTGATTAGTTCATTTATGGGCAACTCCTAAAAATCGTGTTTTATCTTCATTTATGGTTAGGCCTAATTTTCTTGCCTCAGCTTCTAATACATTGAATGATTCCACAACATACTTTCTGGATTTACTCACTAAAGCAATATCGAGCCCACCAGCGGCCGAGCGGTAAAGTCGCTGAACACTGGTAGTTCAGTCCGAGGTTCGAATCCCGCGAACAGGCTGCCTGCACGGGTGTTTTCATGATTTTCCCCATGTGTAACACATGGAGATAGGAAGTTAGATGGAGTGGCCGTAAACCGGTTTTCCCATACCCTGCTTTGAAGCACTGGCGATCCTTTCTAGGGTGACCAAAACATTGGGTAATTTACCATTGAGTTCAATGGGTTTTGACACGATCGGATGTAACTATTTTGTAATTACGTTGTAAATATGTATATAAATGTATATATTTTCTTTTTTCTACAATACTTCAGAGGCCTAAGTATATGAAAAGAATACATTTTTAAACAACATATTATTCTGAACGGAATTAAATGCTATACTTTTCACAGAAGAGTTTGCTCAAAATAGTTTAATTTGAATGAAATATTTTCACAACTTTTCGTTAATTACATTAGAAAGAAATTTTACGGTAATTCGATTTTATTCGGTTAAGGATTGCAAAAATTAAGATCAAAGTTTATTGTATTATTAGTATTAAAATTATGCATTGTTTCTTTTCTATTTATAAAGCTTCTTCCTAAAATACTTTTTCAAATATGACATGATTTATTAGCTTCTGAGGCATCTTTTAAATCGAAAAATATAAGTTTATAATTAATGCTCTATTCGGTCCATTTCAAATTAGAGCACCTTTTATTTTAATAGCGAAATACTTTAAATAGTACGTAACTTTCTCTGAATATTTCTGAAAGAGAATAAAATAAGTATTATTTTTAAATATTATTTAAAACTTGTAACTGAGTTATTATAAAATGTAATGGGAATAATTCTTTTAATTATACTTAACAATTTTTTTTTTTTTTTTTTTTTTTTTTTTTTTTTTTTTTACCTTTAATTTCAACAATACATAACATATTTCAAAACTCCTCTTTATTGCTTTACAATACCTTTTAACAAATTGCTTTCCAGTACGAAGAATTCTTGCTTAAATAGTTTTATAACGTATTTGTCAACAGGATGTCAATTTATGTTTACAATTCAATGCTAAGGTTATTACATATTTAGATAATATTTATAATAATTTTAAATTTAGATACACTTAATAATTAGATTTCTTCATAGTAACTTTTCACAGTTGTTCAGGAATTAATAAATCCTTCATTTCAAATACATTTATAAATAATTTAATAAATATTTATGTATTTTGTAAAGGCAGATACATGCTTTCTGCATGCATAAATACCCATACATATTTCATATTTTTCATTTCCGGCATGTGGAAATCTTTAATTTCTGTGCATTCACTATATTTTTCAAGTAAAGTAATTTACACCAATTTTAGAAAGGTATTGTTACAATAATATGTGGATGTGAACATTTTGGTGTTTGAAACATAAAATAAAAGTAGCGAACACTCTATCAAGGGTATAGAAAGATGTATACTATTTTAAAAGTATGGCGAGGTATTTTTCATTCTTTAAGCATAACTTTTTTGCTAAAATCTATATTTTTGTAGTTCAACAGCTTAGAATTTTATAAAACAAATTCATAATGAAAATCGCTGTTGTTAGTTATCGAAAAATAACCTGTGATTTTTGCATAAATGTCGCTGAACTATACAAATTGCTATTATCCATCATACTAGGAATGTTTCTTTTATGCAGAAGTGTCCCATTTTTTGATTTGTATAGAACTGTCGTGTGTCAAAATACTATCAGAGCGCTGTCAAGCGAGTTTCTGAATGTAAACAAAAAACACCCCATCTGGTGACTGAAGCTTCAAAGTAGTGCTTCACTTCTAGTACCGGTTTGGGTACTCTTTCCTTTCTTACATCCATGGTGTAACATGTATACGAGCCAGTTTCCTTTAGAAAGTCCTCCACAAAGGCATCCCTTCCCTTAGGCAGATAGCCCTCGAGGCTTTGCCGTAATTAAATAACCTAACCTAACCTAAAGCAATGTCATCGGCGAATGCCAAGATTTGGATCGTCTTATGGTAAATGATTCCTCTCTTCAAAGACCAGAAGTTATGATATCCTTCTTAAGGGCCAGGTTAAAAAGTAAACACGAAAGAGCATCACCCTGCCGTAGACCTCTGTCAGTATAGGAAACTTCAGATAAATCATTACCACTATATTTTACCCTTTTAAGTGTAGCATTTGTTAGATTCTTAGTCAGTATTTCAAATTCCTCCACTGCCTCATATAGTTTCTGACGATTAGTGCTGTCATACACAGCTTTAAAGTGGATAAAAAGCAGGTGCCAATATTGTACTCTCTTGTTTACTCCAAGCTCTGCCTCAAGGCATGTATTTGATCAGTAGTTGATCTTCCCCTAAGAAATTCACACTAGTACCATCCAATGACTTTTTCAACATGTGGTAATAACCTCTTGTAAAGAACATTTGTGAAAATTTTGAATACAGTAGTCAAGAGAGTGATTCCGCAGTAGTTGCAATAATCTTGTCTATCACCTTTTTCAAAGATGGGACAGATGGAACCCTCATCCCATTCAATGGGCATTTGCTCCAATGTCCAAATCCTGTAAACAATGGCATGTATAGACTTAATCAGATCAGGTATGTCAACCTTCGAAATTCAGTATTAATCCTATCAGGGAAGGGGAAGTTTAGCACAATTAAATAAAATATTATATATGTGTGTATATACACAAAGTGGTTAAAATTAAAACATCCCTACTCTGAGCTCTCTATACATCAAACTACTGAGTGTATAGGTCCCAAAATTGTTGAACATACTATTCAAGACATGGCAGAAATGGATTACGTGAAAAAAATTAGTTCCAGAAACACAGATAGGTGGCGCTGTACAAAAGAAAATATGCTGAAAGGACACAAATAATCACACACAAAACAAACACAGACATGAGGTATGGAAATATTCCTTTTTAATTTATATTGCTGATATGAAAAAAAGTTAAGAAACTTAAACCGTCATTGTAACTGCAATTTTGCTCTTTGGCCATCTCTTTCTTCAGGCCTTAACCTTTTGAAGACGGGATGGCCATTATAGTGGCCACAGAGTCCTCTCTTTGAAAAGACGGTGTTGTCCACTTTAGTGGCCATGTCTTTTTCCCCCATTTTCCAGACTGAAAAGTGGGGTGAAATGTCAAATCTGACGTCCCTGGGGTTTTAACCAATTATCTCTTTCAAAGGTCTTCCTTTTGCGACAAAAATGCACCCCACTGAGAATCCATTAAACTACACACAAAAATCTTTGTTGCAATTAGAAGGTGATTTCTTAAAGGGGGGAAAGCATTCGGTTCCCGTCCTTTGGTAGCTTTTACTGCTACCAAAGCCACGCCCTCAAAAGGTAAATACATGCGATTTTTGGCTGTGGGGTTACTTAAAAAATCTTGTTTATCGACGACATCTGGAAACTTTGGCAGATTTGAAAGACAGTATCACTCTGCATGTGAGAAGCATCTCAATCGACCAATTATGATCCACAGTTGAACAATCTGTCCACAGACCGCAGATTTTACATCTTGAAGAAGGAAACCATATTGAGCAGCTTCCCCTGCATCGATAAGGTCTTTGTGATATAAATGTTTGGTATGTTTGAATAAGGTGTATTTTGTGTCATTCAGCATATGTTCTGTTGTACAGCACCACCTATCGGTGTTTCTGGAACTCCTTTTCCCCCAAAATCTGTTTTCCCATGTCTTGAATAGTACTTGGGTTGGAACTTTAATAGTGGCAACACAGCTGAAAAAACACTACACAACAAAACCATAGAATATCGCGTTTCTTTATCAATGTTTAAATGTTCTGCAAGCATTCTAATCATTAACTGACAATCCTTACAAAAGATTTAGTGCTGTAATAACGATAATATGTTTCCTTAAGGAATGAAGAGCTTAATCTCGTATTGGTATATTATATTTTGAATTCTGAATGTGACAGTTTATTTCAATTGCACTCAATTTTAGCATACCTGAAGATTAAAGCTTAAATAAGAAATAATACCTATATAGTTTAAGTGCATCGATATTCTATTTGCAATTACATGGATTTTCAATTTCATTATCTCTTTTACCTGAATGTAGCAACAAAAACAATTTTACATTTACTATTGAGAACAATTTTATTCAATTATATTGAAATACATTGTATATAAATTTTACCAGTATAAGGAGAAGTGATGGACAAAGAAACATAGTACTTTATTAATCTATAAAACAGACAGTACTTAATTTTCCACGATATGTTACAATTTTTCAAAAGTGAAATCTTTTTTTCTCAATTATTGTATCTACAAAACTAATTATTGTAAATCCAATTCACACTCCTGCCTTAAGTTATAATTTAAAAATACAAACAATTACAATCACAGATCTCTGAAGGAAGAGATTGATACATTTCTTCAATCTTATGCTTTGAGTATCAAAAAATAATCTGAAACAGAACACTAACTAGCACAGCTAAATGACTAGGTCAACCAAAAATTTAGTATAAATTTCGGCAAGTTGAAAAATGGCATCTAGCTTTAAAAAAATAATAATAAAAAAAAGGTGGCATTGTATTTCTACAAAATTACCTGCATTATAAAAATGTAGTTCAAAATATTAATTAAAAACCACAGTTCAAAGTTAATAAAAAGAACATGAAAAGGAAAAAAGCAAAATAATGAAATTGAATGTTCTTATTTCTTATTAATCTTTGAAAATATAGCAATATATCTAGTTTTTCATTAAAATTGAACTAAAAGTACATATTTATTTATGTTGATGACATGCAAAGAAAAATTCACTTTTATATAACACTGAACCTGAGTGCTTTAAAACTTGTTTTCCATTCAAACAAAAATTTAAATTATATAAATTGTTTGATGCAACCATTTTCAAAGTCTAAGAAATCTATGCTTTTTAAAAGCAGGAACAAAAGATTTCTAACAACTGTACGTGTGTTCCAAAGACCCACCAAATACTAAGTTAAGCATTACAAAAGAAAAAAATGGCACAACAAATAGAACTGAATTAAATAATATAGGAAATTAAAAAATCAAAATGCAATCACTCAAAATGATATTTGTAAGTAACAAAAAATTAAATATAGTAAATCACATGGATAAATCAGTTCATTTGTTGCATATCCTAATATATATATATATATGTGTGTGTGTGTGTATTGAAAAGTGTTTTTAATCAGATGGTCGCTTTTCAGAAAATTTCTTTGTGAAGTCTTCAGCATTCTTGAAAAACTTCTTCCTGTCCCTGCTATATTCTTCTGCCAGATCTGTTCGAAGAGGGTGTTCTGGTTCTGGCTCATTTACCAATGCCACTAGAGCCTGAATGACTTGATCAGTTTTGGTAGCTGGTTTCCAATTTTCAACACTTATTATGGGTAAACAAACCTGACCCTTCTCATCAATATTTGGATGGTATATTTTGGTACGGAAAAGAATTTTTGGAGGTTTAAATGGATACTCAGCTGGGAAGTTGATCTCTATCCTGAAAGCGCCCTTGCTATATGGGGCACAGTCCGGCACGATCAACCCCTGCCAGCTGAGAATATTAGTGTCATCAACGCGAATATCGCGGAAGCATTTCATATTAGCTTTACGGATATCCTGCAGTTCTTTCTGTAGCCGCCTTGTAGCTGCCATGACGCAGGATCCTTCAAATGCTCAATGAGTTGCAGAAGGACACGGGACAACTAGACGTAGCTGAAAAAGGAGATCACCCTGATCAAAACTGCAAACTGAAAAGCTCTCTTTTTTAAAAAAATATAAAAATTATTTAAATTTTTCTACATTAAATATTAATTTTTTGATTTTTCAACTTAGAATGAATAATCTTCCAGACATATATGAAACAAATAATTTACTTAAAAAGAAAATCGTATTTGAAAGACTTCAGATAATACGAAAAAACTAAGTTGGCAAACGTTCTAACTTTTTATGCACTAAGTGGTTTTTAATATAGTACTCTTACATTATGCTACTCAATTTTTGGCATTAATTAAATAAATATTATAATTTCAGATCTAATTTAATATCAAGATTTAAATCAAAACAAATTAAAGTTTATAAAAATAAATATAAAGGTGACTGATAATTTCTGAGACTGCCTCCATTTCTTGACAGTAAATGTCGCAATCCTCTATTGGTTTTTACGAAAATATTCATCAACATGTCTCTAATATGCAGTTGGATGGCCATGGCTTCAGGATTTTAACACAGCTAGCAAAAATTCATAATCAGAAACATGGCACAGATGTGTTTGAATTTTGTTAAACTGGGAAAGAACAAGAAACACTTGAAATGCTACATTAACAATACTGCAGAAAATACATAGTTATGTTTCAGTATTTCAATGGTAGAAAACTTCAGAGATAGTAAGAGACAAGTGACTCACAAAGCACATTCAGGTAGAGTACACATGCCAGCATTGCAAATCCATCGGCAGACATAGAACAATAACTATTACCCACTAAAAACCTACTTGCAAGGAAAAAAATGATCAGATAAGCCAAGAAACAGCATTTTTACTCCACAGCATAGCTTGGCAATGGTACTAGCAGATTTGAGACTGATAGGGTAGCTAGCATTAAAATACCTTCTAGATAAGGTTAGATGGACTCAGCCAGTTATGGCAAAATAAACTAGGGCTATCTGCCTAAGCAAAGGGATGCTATTGTGGAGGGTTTTCTAAGGGACACTAGCTCATATACACGTTACACATATGGAAAAACATGAAAACACCTATTCACCTGCTTTTGAACCCAGGAAAAAACTATCAGTGCTCAGTAATTTTATTGCTTGGCTGCTGGTGGGCTTCTATATAAGCTCAGATTATTTTTCAACAATGAGATGACAACTGTACAGAAAAAAGCTCTCTTCAGATGAGGAAATGGTAAATTTTATCAGAAGCACTATGAAATGTCTAATAAAATAACAAATTTTTGTTAAATATTCTCAAAATATTACTGAACTAAAAATTGCATAAATAACTTTCAGTAACAATATAGTAAGTGATCTACTTTTAGTTGTTTCTTAGATGGTGACACTAAATTGCTATGTTTAGATTTGAACTTAAATAGGGGGGAAAATGATTAATACTAATTTTAGGGCCACCACCTTAAAAAAAAGTGACAGATTACAAATTAAATCATTACTGAAGTTCAATATAAATCATAATCCCTTTAATACTTTTAAATAATCTTTACAATATTACATAATTAAAAATTAATGAAAGTGGTTTAATCTTTGACACAGCAAAATGAAATCTTACCCCAGATTAAAAAAAGAAAACAGCTTTGTACATTAAATATGGCATTTGCCATAAAATAAACCGGTGTGGTATATAATTCAAGCCCAATATTTTATCTAAATAATATGTAAATTTAGGTATATCTGGTGCATACATTGATCTCTTCCGACGATCTCATTAAAAACGATTTACAAAATTGCGGTATTTCAATTTGGCACTTTTCTGTTACAGGACTTCTGCTATCAGACCAGATTCAGAAATGTATGTATGCATACGTATGTGCATATATATACATATGCACACATAAAAACATACATCCATCCGTACAAGCATTATATTTCTGAATCTGATCCTGATAACAGAGGAGTACCTTCAAGTCTTTGGATTAAAAAAAAAAAGGGAACATTGAAAACAAAGCTTCTAGTAATTTAGGTATAGGATGAGATCTATATGATGGCCCAATATCAATGACATAATATAAAAAAAAACGAACATTCAATTTTACAGATGATAGTCAAGTTTATGCTTAAAAATAGTCAAGTCTACATTTATGATTTAAAGCTAAGTGAATAATAATGACGATTTAACCCTCAAAAACAAATTTTGTAACATGTTTTGGCAGCATGCACAACTATTATTATTTTCTCCTTTCACAATACTTACACATATTTTATTTACTTAATAATTTATACAAAATGATTATTACATGCAATTCCATTAATTATAACAATTAACTTTGTTAGTAAATTTATACAGAAGAATTATATTAATTTTTATTCCTGGCTTATATGTCAATCACAAATTTGATGCTATTCTGGGAGGCATTAAAGTATATCTGCACTGAAAAATGTGATGTGTATCTTCAAACACAATACACACAAACACACTAATTTAAAGTATCCAATTCCATAATGTTTCCCTATCACAGAGTTTCCACAGCAATTCCCACTAATCCCTTTTTTTAAGACAAAATTATGCTTTCTTAAAGGGTAAAAATAAAAAATGTGTAAATATATTTTAAACCTTACATTTTCAGCATATGACTTCCCAATTTACCTCAAACTCCTCTTGAAAGGAGCTTTTTTTTTTTTTTTTTTTTTTTTAAATTTCTGCAAAAAAACAGGCCTTCATTTTTTTCAAATGTTATTCGTATACACTTAAATATTTTTCTCTTATTATTTCAACTGTTAATTATCACAATTCTAAATCTAAACAACATTTTACGGGACCACATTTTCATCATACAATTACAAACAAACCCGAGAACAAATTTATATGACAAAATAAAAATTAATCTGTTGAAGACAGATTTTTTTACTGTATTTATGCATTTTATTAGCTATGATTCTTATATTTTATCAATGAAACATTTATATCGATACTACTATTCTCAAAATTGAACAAAACAGCATCCTGGTTTTGGCATAGATCTTGTACACATCTCTATTTACTTTGAGAGTAATCTATCACTTTGTTTTGGTTTATTTGATTATGGGAAAGCACCTGAGGGTTGTCTGCCTAAAGAAGGAATGCCTTTATTCAGTACTTTCTACAGGAAACTGGCTTGTATACATGTTACACATGGGAAAATCGTGAAAAATCCCCCAGAAAAATTCCAGAAAACTAGATCATATTTTGCATTTTTTGTATCTTTTATTATTTCGTATTTCACATATCTGTAGTTTTCGGAAATTCTTCCGGTTTGGTGACGATTGATATATTTTTTTAGATTGGCAAGATCTTACTGATATTGAATTTCATTTCCTTCCTGTCTCTGTGAACTTGGTTCTAAATTTCTTACCTTTTGTCTATAACTGATTAATTTTTCAGCAGCATATTGTGTGGAAATATTGGTTTCAAATAAAAATTTTGTGTTATTGTTAAAGGTAAATAGACTCCTCTATCAATTTCCAATACTTTAAGATTTGGTATTTTATTTATTAACAAAAAGATACTTCAGTTTGACTTCAAGAAGGGATTTCATTTAACCATTTGAGCTACAACTAAACTTCACGGTTGCGGCGCCGTGCGCTACAACATAACAAGCGGTAAAGTGTCTTATTTATGCCGCTTCGCAGCTGCGAGTGCAATCCAGAGCTGTAACTCAAGAAATAAATCTCGTTAGGCGACGTGTGCACCACGTTATTTTCATTTTTGCGATAAATGCCTATCGACGTGGTGTTCACGTCTCGAGACAAAAGCATCTTGATGTGCGTGGCACATCTTTTTAGTGCAAATGCTTAACTCTTTGAAATCCAGACCCTTCGCTAACTTGTATCCTCAAAATACCGAACCACCCGAAATAGTTTTCCAGTTTCACAGCAATTTCCTCTCTTCCCCATCCATTAACGCAGGAAATAGGTGTGAAAATTTCGAATGACATCCTTTGTACTTTCTAACAAAGATTCCATTAGCCTTTGACCCCTTTTTTTTATAAACCTATTCTGAAGGTCAGACCAACAAGCCTTTCTGGCTTTGCTATATCACAACTGAGATTTTATTTACTTCCGTTATTTTTATAGGAAGGAATAAATTGATTAAAAGTAAATATAATCCTTAAATTTTCTAACTGCTTTTTTATTGCTGTTTAAAGCTTAAAAGCATACTGTACCAAAAAAGAATCAACAAGGAAATGTCACGAGCAACCAAAAGATAAGAAACCTCTTAGGACAAGCTGTCTGCAGTAAACTGATTACAATGCCATTTAGGAAAACTGCACCTGTTACTGCATACCTTAGGGGGGAGGTAAAAAAACAAGATTGCAATCTCGGCTGTTTTCGGGCGGTTCTGGTTGTCTCGATGTAGGGCCGTGTGGGGCGGATTGGTTGTGAAAAAATTAATTTTAGCAAACAAGAGGGCTGACATGCAACTGACTGCTTGCTGGACTGTCAGCGAAACAATCGCTTTGATAGATATCTGAGGATGCGATGTCATCGAAAAAAATTACATGGAACCATACGGAAATTTTTAAACAAGTACAGACAAGGTTATCTGATGCTGGATATTCCAGAAATACCGTTCAATAATTAAAACTAAGAATGCGCATATCGGCTTTAATGCGACCAGGGAACTCGGTACCTTTTGAATGATTTTTATTATTATTATTATTTAAGAACTTTCATCTACTTTTTGTGAATATTATTAAATGGTTTTGTAAGTCAAAATGATTTTAAGCTGAAAACAATTTTGCCAGTATTTTTTTAGTTTAAATTTTTGGAAGAAATGTTTAATAATTAAAATGCCTTTCTTCTCCTACAATTTTCAATGTTTCTCCCCCCAATTTTTGATTGTATTTATTATAGTGTTCTTAATAACCTTAAGGATCGATTTTGTAATTGTAATACATTGTTTTAATACATTGTATGTCTCCCAGACGATGCAATACAGTCCGTACAACGCCTAGGCATGCTAAATATCAAATTATTGATCTGATCTTGGGGGATATTACACCACT